CTAAAATATATTGTTCTACTTTTCTTCTACCACTATTGTATACCAAGTATTCAATGGAATCATAATTATTTCTGCGACAGCTGAGTGCTTGGTGTGGTGACAGTATACAAACTATATATGTAGGATCCAGAGAACGCCCCATCTCACCTCGTTGTCTTGGTCAGAGGTTGGGTGCAGTTACACATTCAGACTTGCGTAGATTTACTTGTATAACGTCGGACAGGAAACGACTACAGTTAAGAATGTAAAGTGAGGATAAAGAGACATCCAACCAGGTTTACCCCTCATCAAACTCCTACTTGGTCAGCAATAGTTTTAGCATTGTCGCCTCTTTACAAGAAACGTGGACCACTGGGGAACGTCTCTACTCAGGAAACCAAACTGTAATTGGTCTATTAAACAGGCATTGCACCTGAACGGTGAAGCAAGTGAACCACTTTATTTGGTTCAAGATCTACATTCATGGAACTGAGACTAAGTAAATTTCAATGTACTATTCTGTATTATGAAAAATACATAGTATCGAAAACTGATTTTATAATAATAATAATAATAATAAATGCATATTTATAATGTGCCCCTACACACCCTAGGTCATGCTCAAAGCGCTACAGAATATTTACACTGGAGTATTTATAGATGAAGTTATACATAATATAAGGTGGGTTTTAAGTCTGGACTGTGTCAGAGCTTTTAAGGGCACATAGAAGAGAATTCCAAAGTACAGGTGCAGAGAAAGAGAATGATTGGTGTCCAAAGGATTTCAGTTTGAAAGATGTTTTGGATGTTTAATAGAACCACACAAACATAAATGTGAACGATTACAAACGTTTCATCTTTCATATCGGCTAACATTGGCTTTTATAACTGAGTAAATAAATAATATTATGGTATATGTCAGCAAATAACATGGCAAAGGAATAGCTTTGAGATCAACGGCCTTTCACATCAATATGACATCAAGTACCCAAAGGCATACGGTATAGGCCTACTTGGTTAACAAGTAAGCAACTTTATGTTTAGGTTGTATATGTTTAATTTGTTGTATCTATTTGTAACTAAGTAGGGGGTACGACATAACTAGGACAGTCCACATCAATAAACACGCCTATACACCAATACAATCTACAAGTCCACATCTATCCACAAACTTATACACCAATATAATCCACAAGTCCACATCCATCCACACACTTATACACCAATGCAATCCACAAGTCTACATCCATCCACACACTTATACACCAATGCAATCCACAAGATAACATCCATCCACGTGCCTATACACCAATGTAATGAACGAGTCCACATCTTTCCACACGCTTATACAGAATACAATCCAGGAGTACACATCGATCCACACGCCTATACATCAATGCAATGAACAGGTCCACATCCATCCACGTGCCTATACACCAATGCAATGAACAAGTCCACATCCATCCACGTGCCTATACACTAATGCAATGAACGAGTCCACATCCATCCACACGCTTATACACAATACAATGAAAGATTCCACATCCATCCACACGCTTATACACAATACAATCCAGGAGTACACACCAATCTATACACCTATAAACCAATACAATCAACAAGTGCATTCTGTTACCTGAGGGTGTCGGAGTGTTCTACCCTTCCTCCCTAGGCAATCTGTCTATCCACACTGGTTCCTTGGGATGATGTTGCTAAGATGGATAGTCAAAGATAACTTCGGTATGTTGTTCAAGTCCATTTATTTTGGCATGAATTCTCACACAAAGGTCCTCAGATATTGCCTAGCTTACCTGGTCTACACACAACACAGATTCACAAACTTCATGGAAGAACTTACTGGATTCTTGTACAACTCCTTAAGTTACTAGTTCATCTGAGCCTTTTTCTCTCAATATACAGAGAGAACCTCTCAGGTCAACGGTGGGGCCCAGAATCATCCTCTCTCTCTCAGTCAACTAACAAAATAGTCTCATAACAATTTTGGCTCCTCCCCCTGAGATACTGTCCTACACCATATATAATGACTCATAACCCATCTGAATAATAAGTTACTTTCATTAGTCCCTTTTCAAATGACTCATATCCCAGCTGCACCACTAACTACAATCATTTCCTCTCTTCCAAGACTTAATCGGTACCATCAGTTTTTTTCCATTATAAATGTACTTTATTAGTGAGCTTAAATCATTTGTGAATCTTTCAACAAAATAAAACTTCCGACTGGCAGACGCCAGAAGATGTTTAATCGAATCATTACGTGTGCCCCTTTTCTGATTCTTAGTATCTTAATTACCAGTAAATTCCGAAATGGTATATGAGTCGACCAATCCACATGTTCCACTCATCTCCCTTATTTGGATTTGTTGTATGCAAGGGAAATGAATCGATATGAATTTGGTTACTCTGGCCAATGCACTTTCCAAGCACAATGCCACTTCTTAACTGAACTTCAAATTTTCCTTAAATATTTACCAAATATATTTTAAGTTTTCAATTCTAAATATCATGGTAATAATATACATCCTATTCACAACACAATCCACGGGTCAACATCTATTCACACGACTATATACACCAATACAATCTACGGCTCCACATACATCCACACGCTTATTCACAATACAATCCACGAGTCCACATCCATCCACACACCTAAACACCAATACAATCCACAAGTCTACATCCATTCACACGCTTATACATCAATACAAGTCCATATCCATATCAAGTCCATATCAATCCACACGCCTATTGACCAACGCTATCCTCAAGTCCATATCCATTAACACCCCTAAACACCGATTCAATCCATAAGTCCACATCCATCCACATACCTATATAAACCAATACAATCCACGACTCCACATCCATTAACACTCCTATGCACCAATATAATCCACAATTGTACATCAATCCACACGCCTATACACCAATACAATCCACAAATCCACATCCATCCACACACCTATAAACCAATGCAGTCCACAAGTACACATCCATCCACACTCCGATATAAACCAATACACTCCCCGGGTCCACATCCATCCACACGCCTAAACACCAATACAAGTCCACAAGTCCACATCAATCTATACACCTATAAACCAATACAATCCACAAGTGCATATTCACCCACACGACTATACACCAATACAATCCACCAGTTGAAATCCATCCACTCGCTTATAAAACGAATACAAACCACAAGTCCACATCCACCCTCACTCCTATACACCAATGCAATCCACAAGTCAACATACATCAACTCACATATTCATTAATACAATCCACCAGTCCACATCCATCCTCACGCCTATACACCAATACAATCCACAAATCCATATCCATCCACACGCCTATATACACACAATACAATCCATGAGTCCACATGCATCTACACGCCTATTCGAAACAATACAATCCACGAATCCACATCCATACACACAACTATACAACAAAACAATCCACGAGTCCACATCCATCCACACGCCTATACACCAGTACAATTAACAAGTCCACATCCATCCATACGTATATACACCAATACGATCCACGAGTCTACATCCATCCACACACCTATTCACAACACAATCCACGTGCCAACATCCATCCACACGCCTATACACCAATACAATCCACAAATCAACATTCATCCACATACCTATATAAACCAATGCAATCCACAAATCCACATCCATCCACATACCTATATAAACCAATACAATCCACAAATCCACATCCATCCACATACCTATATAAACCAATACAATCCACGAGTCCACATCCATCCACACGCCTATAAAAACCAATACAATCCACAAGCCCACATCCATCCACACACCTATACACCAATGCAATCCACAAATCCACATCCATCCACATACCTATATAAACCAATGCAATCCACAAGTCCACATCCATCCACACGCCTATACAAACCAATACAATCCACAAGTCCACATCCATCCACACGCCTATACAAACCAATACAATCCACGAGTCCACATCCATCCACACGCCTATACACAACAATACAATCCACGAGTCCACATCCATCCACTCGCCTTATACACCAATGTCTATTCAATCCACACATCCATCCACACGCCCATACGCCTATACAATCCACACAAGTCCACATCCATCCACACGCCTATATTCACCAATACAATCCACGAGTCCACATCCATCCACACGCCTATACACCAATACAATCCACGAGTCCACATCCATCCACACGCCTGTATAAACCAATACAATCCACAAGTCCACATCCATCCACACGCTATATAAACCAATACAATCCACGGTTCCACATCCATCCACACGCCTATACACAATACAATCCACAGTCAACAATTCACACGCCTACACACCAATCCAATCCACACGTATCCATATCCATCATACACCGTACACCAATGCACTCAACAAGTCCATATCCATCCACACCCGTATACACCATATTCCACAAGTCCACATCCATCGTCACACCTATACCACACCACACAATCCATACACTAATATCCATGCACACCACTTAGTCAATACAATCCATCCACACGCCCATCCACACACCTATACACCAATACAATCCACAAGTCCACATCCATCCACACACCTATACACCAGATGAATCCTCGAGTCCACATCCATCCACACACCTATACACCGAATCAGTCCACGAGTCCACATCCATCCACACACCTATACACCAATACAATCCACGAGTCCACATCCACATCGAAAAGGCGCCATTTCACGTGAAGATGAGAACAATGAAGGCGTGTATGAAGGCAGTTACAGAACTGCGTTGTACTGGCCTATATTTCCTTATATGAATCCAATGATAAAGAGGCTATACTAACGCCGACACTGTCTGACAAAATATGCAAACATTGTATAAACGTTTTATATGTGAGTATAGAAATGTTCTTGTGCGCAACGATATCCCGTCAGTCGCAGGACAGGTTACATTCAAATTAGTAGCACGCATTCATCTGTATCGAGTGTGCAGACATGTCAGAAGGGAGAATGAAAGGAGAGGCACAACTCGATTGACGGCCATCAAGTCGGAGAGTTACTGGACGTGAAACACTAATAACCTGAAACAACGTTGACATATTGGTAAGCAACTAATCGGTACTTTTTACACTTATCAGACATTGTGATACCGTAAATATTTTTACTTATCTCACGATAATATTTTGTCTTATTTAACTGCAAACACATTCCAGACCAGATATTATACAGCCGCCTTACATTGATAAATTGTAATACTTTTTTGCTCAAGCTGATGTCAGTAGGTAATATTATATTTTGTGAGAAACAATTACCATCTGTAACGTAACATCTCTAGTGTCACCACTGTTCAATAGTATTTCATGAATATAAGCTTTGGATTGAGTAAGGGTTACACAATGTACGGCGGGCGTATACATATTGCAGTATTTCTTTCGTCAATAGTACTGAATTGTATCAATGTGCGTGTTTCATTGTCAGGAGTATTCAAATTTATCGGAAGACTGGAAGTCGTTGTCTGTTTCACTGTATCTTAACTCGACAACAGATTATTCACGTGACGGTCGCTAAGTTAAGCACATAATCATAAATATGATATATTGCACATAAATTCATTGGAATGTTTATATACCTTTCAATTCGGAAAACATATAATTCATCATATAATTCATCACACATCTTTAATTGTTAAACGCCTTTTCTTCAACAATTCAAAATGAAAACATATTCCAGAAGTTTAAACATTATATGTTATTTGGTTGATTAATCTAACCATGATTTCGAGTTGAAAGTGACGTTGTCAGACGTCTCTAGGTAGCACCATATCAATCAGAAAGTTAATGGAACTGACCCCCCTATAGAAGTTGTAAATGATAATGACGCAACAGTTGATGTGCTAAAAGAATAATGTTTGTTTCGATGTTTGAGAGTCTTCTAATTTACTGTAGTCGGTCCAACTTCCAACTGAACTGAAACCGTCCTGAGATGACAGAGATGAACAGCAGTGACTAATTCTGGCATGTTCTCTTAACATTGCTTTAGTACAAACTGGACTTAAGTTCTTTAGAATTACCAAAGCCAAATGTAAACAGTGTTCTTCATGTCAATGCGACATATTGATAAATTATAAATATTTACATGACCATCTCACACATGCATGAAGAAAGTCAGCAAATCTGTCAACCCGATTTCATAAGTTGATGTTTCCAACGACCATAACTACGTCGTACAAGCAGAGTTTGCAGAAATATAATTCATCCCGAATCTTGGTATCATGTTTACTAAGCAATAATCCTACATATGACAAGGATAATCATGTCTTGTGTCGCATTCATTTCAACAATGACCAATAATGAACACGGTTTATGTATTTACAGGTGACCAGCAAAGGAAACGTTCAGCACAACATGTGGGTGATTGGCATAGCTGTGTGTCTATACAGTAAGTGTCCTTGTCACAGCTGTGTTTGTATACAGTATGACCGTATGTAACAAACTTTTATCAGAAAATTCAGTGACTGACATGAAGGTTTTGTTCTAAGCAGTATGTATCTGATGACAGACATCAGCAAGTCTGACCAACTTATCATCTGTGATCATCTCTGCTCTTCCTACAACTATTGTGATTGCTGGAGAACAACTCTAACCTTGGTACCCAAGGGTTACCATGATACTTTCCCAAAGAGATGCTAGTATAATAATGAAACATTAGAGCGTACTCCACTTCAAATCACATGCTCGGAAAATCGTTCGAGCAACCAAAACATCAAGAGCAACCTGTATTTTTTAACAGTAGATTCATTTGCACAATGACAGAACAAAACTTGAAAATGATAATAACATTTTTATATATTTCAGGCTTCACTATAAATGGTAATGAGGAGTGTATTCCAGGAACATTTGGGCATGATTGCAAGCAAAACTGTTCTCAAAAACTGTCATATTCCTCAAAATACCATATTGCCCTGTAACAAAGAAGACGGGACCTGCTATGAAGGATGCAATGTGGGTTTCTATGGAGATCGGTGTGACCAACGTTGTAGCAAGAACTGCAAAGAACACGTCTGTTTCCAGATCAACGGACACTGTAGTGAAGGCTGTATAGACAATCACATCGGGGACTTCTGTGAGGTCGTCCAAGGTAATACGATGATTGGTCTGTTGATGTAATACAGCAATATACATACTTAAACGATAGCAAAGGTGAAACATTTTACAATCTTTTTGGTATATTGCGTAATGTTTTGACGCAAAATGCTGGTCCGAAAGGTAAGCATAATTAGAAGTGAAGTGCAATGTACTGACTACAATGTTTATTATATAAATAACATGTGTGGATAAGATACATGGTTGACTTTCTTCACAATAAAATCTTTAGTGGGCTGCAATTACACTTGCGCTCATCAGCGGGTTTATCAATAAGCAGATCCGACCATACAGTGGTTGATATCTAAGTCAGTTTGGGCTTAGTCAGATAATGTTGATGATGTTTTTTCTACCACTGCCAAAGGGGTGCGCTAGGTAACCCCAGTACTGGCAATGTTCACAATCATCTTGTTATATTGCTTTAAAATGTCTTCTCCCTTTTTATGACAGATCCACCTCCAGGCCTAAGAGGTAAACAAAATAATTTTTAGAAAAAGGAAACCAGAAACAAAAAACAGAAATTACAATCCTCTGAGTATCATGTATATACTCTTATTGAACATGATGTAAAAATGCATCTTCATATTAGCTGCTTGTGTGTGGTACACCTTCAGGTTGTCTACACTTTGTCCCTCTACTGCAGGTACAACCAAGGATGTTCCTATAACAGTAACCACAACGGTAATACCGCCACCGAGAACCAGCTCTGAAACTGTCGCTATCGCGGTCATCGTTCCAGTTGTTGCCCTGGTACTTGCCCTGGTGGTCACTGTCTGCATCATCTTAAGACGGTAGGTTGTTCCATCAATCAGAAGTCTTCTTGAGTTTGATACACACTATCAGCTAAACTTACCTACTAAATATCATTTCACATTAAGATGTGGTCAAGGCAGCTTATCTAGGAGAATGTTATCGTTGGTTGTTGGCGACAGGACCTCCAGAAACACGGCTTGCCACAGTTGATGACAAGAATGTTCACGTTGAGCATTCAGTGCAGTGCATCTTCTCAAATGAATAGAAACTAGGGTTACAGTCTTGTGCGATATGTTCGCTAATACCAGAACGGTATATTAGATATTAGTCATGGGAGTGAGTGTATGAGTTAAAGTTTATAGTCACAACAGCAGTAGTTCAGCCACATCGTGACTAAAAATAATTATGAATTCATGATAAATGCACAGATAGTGCTGCACTCTAGGGACCATGAGGACTTACACCACATGTAAACCCTTTGTTTCACTTTTAAGTCCATCCGACTTAGTCTTGAACTGACTGACTGAGTTTGGTTTTACGCCGCTTTTAGCAATATTCCAACAACATCACGGCTGGGGACACCAGAAATGGGCTTCACACATTGTGTCCATGTGGGGATTCGAACCCGGGTCTTCAGCGTGACGAGCCAACGCTTTAACCATTAGGCTACCCCACCGCCCCCTTAGTCTTGGAGAAAGGATCGGTCGATTGCTATTCTTGTTCCACACATATAAGCCTGTTGTTATATTGTATTGTCCAAATAGTGCTATCAGTTATAACTTTCCAGACTAGTTATAGTTGCAACTATGATATTCTAGCTCAGCGACAGGTTTTTTATAATATACGTATATTCCATTTCAATGTCAAATATGTTCTCGTCACGATATGGCTGAAATATTGCCGATGTGAAGTTGAATATTAACTCACTCACTCAACACATAAAACCACAGAGAGTTGATCCATAAATTAACGTCATCTGGTTTAGTCTCATCGATTTACCGTCACGCAGTATATCGCCATCGACAAAATCAACCTTAACTTTAGTCTTAAGTTTCATATTCTGCCAAGTTATCATAATTCGATGGAAAATAGAAGAGTGCTCTGTCTTATTATTCAGGTGTAGAAACAGGGAAAAACACAAAATGAGTAAGTAGTATATTTCATAATCCTTCAATAAAGCTCAAATACTTGTCACAATCATTATGGCAATTGTACGCCAGATTTCCTTATTCTATCATCGCAGAAATATGTAGAAATGCCTTACTGACTCCCTAACAAGACTGCCCTGAGAGGTTATAATGTGGTCTCATTTTATTGAGCCTTTATATCATCAGTTTGTTTGTCATATGTTAGCAGGCTGCTGCGGTACAGATATAACGTATAGCATATATACCCCCTTAACATTACAGTTGGATTGTGACAACTGAAACCTGTACCTTACTAAGGCCAAAACACACGTGTCGCTGCTTTTTCACGTTATGTATTACAAGCAAGGAATATTGACAGACACATGAACATTGATAAACGGCATTATTCTGACCTTATTTCATCTGTTTCGTTTGATGTTTTCAGGTGAAAATGATGCTGAGGTTGGGCAGGAATTACTCCAAGGTATGACAAATGGCGATATCCCAATGTTACATTTGGGATTACACTTTCTCAATAAGGTACAGATACTTACTGATACTTCACTGAGAAAGTATAATCCTCAAAATACGAAGTGTTACATTTGACCCCTTTCTAAACGGCGTTGTTTATTCATAACTGAGTGAGGGAGTGAGTTTAAATTTAAAATCACATCGGCAATATTCCTGCCAGATCGTGACTTGAACAAGCTATAAATACATGCTAAATGGTGTTCATAAATGGTTATAAGTCAGTGAATCAAAGGCAAATTCATTACTACCCCACTCAGAGCACAACCCAGCAACGATCCCGGGTTCCGCCTCCAATTACAGTGTTACAGTGTAGTGAAACCATTGTGTAACATTTCACAAAGACTACCATCGTTATCATCACTATCACACCGATTTCAAAGCTGTGTTAATCATTACAAATATCATATTTGTACAAACTATCAATGATCATACCTCACAAGAACGTTATTGTTCCAGTGGGTGTTCCGATCACAATTGCAACCTGAAAAATACAAAAGTACACCAGCATGAGAGATTCCGTTAGATCCCTACTATGATAAGATTTGATATTTCTAACTAACTAAGTGAACATTTTTCAGGCTCTAAATTGACGAACAGTAGCCGAGACGACACCGCTTTGCATGATGCGTGCAGAAGAGGGACCCTTGCCGAAGTCAGACAAATGATATCTGAAGATCCGGTAAACATAAACAGCAGAGGGAAGTGTGGCTGGACACCAGTCATGATAGCAGCTGAGGGGGGACGCCGAGAACTAGTTGACTTCCTTGTGAGACAAGGGTGTGACCTGTCACTTACAAATGATGACGGTAACACTATCCTTCACGTGGCTTCTGTTGAAGGACATTTGAAGATAGTCAGATCAATCCTCTCAAAGAAAACAGTTGACGTTAACACTACAGGACACTGTAACAGGACAGCAGTGATGGCGGCAGCAAGGTTTGGACATCGGAAAGTGTTTGACTTACTTGTGAAGAACGGAAGTGATCTTTCAGCTGTTGATTCAGATGGAAACAACATCCTTCACATCGCATGTATTGGAGGACATGTGGAGATCGTGAAATATATCCTCACCAACGTCAGCGTTGATAATAACAGCAGAGGGTGCAACGGTATGACTCCGGTGATGCTTGCAGCAAACTCTGGACATATGCAAGTGTTTGAACTTCTCGCCGAACAGGGATGTCTCTTGCCCACAGTGGATAGAAATGGTAGGAGTATCCTTCACTATGCCTGTGTAGGAAATAATGTTGCAATTGTTGATTTTATCCTCAAGAAAAACATAGTTTTTGTGGACGGAGAAGACAGTATGGGGAAGACTCCAGTGATGCTTGCTGTTGAGTGTGGCCACAGAGACGTATTTCAGCTGCTTGTGCCTAAACAGTGTCACATACACAAGGCCTGTCGCGGTGGAAACAACATTCTTCATACAAGTTGTGCTCTGGGCCATGTGGACATAGTAAAGTGTATTCTGACACAGGGTCGTATTCATATTGACAGTTTTGGACAAAACCAGATGACACCTGTAATGTTTGCAGCAAAGAATGGACAAAGAGACACATTTGATTTACTTGTGAATAGGGGATGTGACACGTCCCAGTTAGACGAAGACGGAAACACCGTACTTCACATGGCCTGTATTGGAGGAAATATAGACATTGTTGAAGATATCCTGTCAAAGGAACTTGTTGACATCAATAGTAGAGGACAGTATCAGAGGACCCCAGCAATGGTGGCAGCAGCATGTGGACACAGGGAAGTGTTTGACTTACTCGTCAACAGTGAAGCTGACTTGAAACTAGTTGACAGCCGAGGATTTGGAATACTTCAACTGATCGCCATGGGCGGACACTTACAGATGATGGAACATGTTCAAAACGTTATGGTCTGACGGTGAAACTGGACATTGTTACAGCCATTCACCAGTTGTAACTACAACGTTCAATAGTTCCATGGATCTGTTTAGTTGTAAATAGTAGCTACGTTTTTACATGAATTGCGTAGTTTCAGCTTGATTCATCAAACAGAGGTAATCGTCTATTTGACATTTTCTAACAGATAAAAAGTTAAAGATATATTTGAAGCTTCATTTAAACTACTTTGCCAAATGTATATATTTTGTCTTTGCTTAGTACAGCAGAATGTCCGCGCCTGTCCATTATTTACTACTTTACTCATTGAAATAAAGGAGTCAAGACCTTCAAGATCATTCTGTGGCAGATATATTTGTGGTAAAACACCGTTGCAACAGTATTACATTGTGTCTGCTGAGGTTCTGCAGCGGGCAGATGTGTGCTAGTTAGACTAAGCGTCAAAATTAATCTTGAAGCTTATAGGTCAGCATCGATCAATCCGTCATAGTGTTATGCAGCATGCGACAGACTCTTGAAGTTCTAAAACTGGCTTTGAATATGTACTGCCGATCCATTGCGTACTGTCAATGTGGTGACACGAACAATAATTTGTTTTAACTTGTAAACCTGTAGACAATTTGTTTATAGGAAATGAAAATTATGTTATGTTACTTTGTTTGTGTTGTGTTTATACATTAAATTCTCTGGTTCAGATTTCTGTATTAACTTATTGTATCAATTCGATAGAGTGAGTGAGTGAAATGGGTTTCACGCCGCTTGTGGCACGATAACAGCAATATTAAGGCGAGGCACGCCAAAAATGGACTTCACATATAATAGCCATATGGTGAATAGAACTCGGGCCTTCCGCGTTGCGGGTGACCCCTGTAACCACTATGTGTCCTTACTTCCCCACATCAAGTCGAAATTGACTCATAAAATAAGACAAAGCGATAAACAATGGGGAACGGAGACTATATTTGGGGTCTCCCTTAATGAATCATTTCACTTTTCCAAATAACAGGGCATCATTAATGCGGTATCTATATTAATATCGCAAAGTTTGATTAAAACGTTTAAAATTAACGATTATATGTCCAGTTAACTTGTCCAGTGAAAACAACCTACAAGGGCCCCGTTGTTCAAAAGCCTGTTAAGTTTTAACGGACCGTTAACCAGTCTTTAACGGACCGTTAACGATAAGAGAGCGAAAGCCTGTTGCTCAAAGCTCCGTTAACCTTTAACTGCCCATTAAGCCCACGTTAACTTAACGTAAGGGGAGGGGGTACATTAGCTCACTAACGTTACCATTAGCATTAGTTCTAGACCTAGCTGCATGGTGACAACATGGCGTTTATTGTCCAGCGTAATGCAGCATTCATGTATATTTGACCACAAAGAAAACCTAAGGAATTCAGAAATTTTTCTGTTGAGTTTAATGAAGTGGAATTACACCAGAGATACCGATTTCGGAGAGATTCCATTGACTACATAATATCTGTGGTTCCATGCTCTCACTGTAGAGATGCAGGTGCTAAAGTACTGTCGGAAATGCTAGAAATAAGCTTTTTAGCCTTAATACTTTGATAAAGGTGACATGTACTATGTTGTCAATATATCAACTCGTCTATAGTGTACCTAATTTTTATTTCAATCGATTTAACATTCCCATGCATTTACAGGAGAGAATATGGCACCAAAACAAGAACTTACGATCTTTTCAGAGTTCAACAACATAAATCTGAAATAGTCTTTACATTTATGCTCATAATACAGGTGGTGTAAAAATATGAATCAACGTCTTTCTTTAACAAATAAATGTTGAATGTTTGTGTTACTTTATTTAATTACCGTTTCTTTATTGAAGAAATATTCATATAAATGTTATGTCTTGATAAATAAGTTTCCCGTCATGCATGCACATCTCCTATCACAGCGTCCACTATGGCCAACTATTTGCAGTCAATTGTTGCAAAGGTTTATAAGTTTTTTGTGCTGAAAAAGACAGAGGTAAACCTTTCATTAGCTTAGAAAAGGTTTATTCTATTTACAAGTTTACAATATTATAAGCAAATCAGACAAGACAGGGACCGTCTCAAAAGCAAAACCGGGACGTAAAACCACCCTTGACAACTTTGACAAGGGAGTACTTAGACGGGCGGCCTACAAACTTTATGAGAAGAAGAATATATATATTCTAAAGAAGCTACACCAGTGACTTTGTTAAATATTTGGCCAATGTCCACAACTAGATGAAAATGACCGAAGTACATCCATATTTTTGCAATGAAATATACTGTTGACATGCAAAACATTTATTGAAACGTTGCACATTTCTACAACCAATCGATAAGATAACACAAGTGATAGGATTCTTTCCAATGTACAGTAATTCGTATGTTTATTTCAAAACAAACACACATACACACATACACAAATGATCTCTTACATAACCAATACGTATACTATACGTACACATATTCAACATTTTGCAGAAAACATCTATTGAGATGACCCCTACCCCGAGCGTGTGCTCAGGTGTCAATATCACCTGTCGATACCGTGCATACTGATGACGTAACACAGGCAGTTAATGTTTGTATCAAATAACGTCCCACTAACCGTTATTTTTCTAGGTTTTTGGTATTTTCATCAGTAGAAACACATTTTAGGGCATGTCACAACATTTATTCCCTCGGTCTACAGTAGGTGGATGTTTCTTAAAGAGATATTTGTTATTTAAGTGTAATTTAACTGTAATACCTCTGAATTTTAAAATATAATTCAAAAAGCATTTTTCTAGCATTTCCGACAGTACTTTAGTCACCTTGAGGTTTTTGGCCAGTCTTTAACAGTAAAACTTACTTTCAATGTTTACCTGTTGAAAGTGTGGCAAGTAAAGCAGATTTATCACTTCACTGTACATGATTGAAAACTGTGTCATATGTTGAAAAGGAAAACGGATTGTGAGAGGTGCTTTTGATAGCGATGCCATTTTGACAGGGAATCATGGGACAGTGTGCAAGGGATTGTCGGTAATGGTAAGGTCTTTAACAGGCTGTTAACCTCTACTCATACCATTAGTTAACGGCCTGTTAAAAAGACCTTCCAGCAACCAAATTTTAACGTTCTGTTAACTAACTTTTCGTTAGCTATTTAACGGCCGTTAGTGTTTAACGGTACGTTAAGATAACTGTGCTTTGAACAACCGGGCCCAGTTCATCATTACCAAACTGTCAATTTTTATTTTGCCACAGAAAAGATCCTCTTGAAATTAAATTTGTTACAGTTTACAATTACACAAGAAATCAACCCTAGAACCTGTAAGCCCCTGTGTTAATCCTATACACATGGTGGTTCTCAGTAAACTATTCAAAGCCTCTACACTTAGTCAGTGACATTAGAAAGGCGAGGTTATGAAGATACTTGTATGGTAGCCCAATGATCGTTCGGGGACGCGTTTACCAGTCACATATCCTGCATTAATAAATGAACTATGTGGTTTCATTGGCTAGTCCAAACATATTGTTATTCAGTGTAGTCGTGCCTTAGCCCGCTACACAACAACACCAACAACCAATTGGACTGCTTTACTGACACGGTACAGACCTTGTGTTGTCGAGCTGGCAGGTGGAGGTGGTGTTGCATGTACATCCAAGGTAAGCTGTTCATATTTCTGCAATTTTGTTATTACATGTGCCAGTTTTGTAACAGAAAACTTTAACTGACATATAGTTCGTAAATGTGTTAAAATAAGGAGTTGTGCCAGTTCTTTAACTTGTATATTTTGTATTTTGTATATTTTCCAATACCATATCTGTCCTCTTGTTGTAAGCAGTATAAATAGCACATTAAATGACACACATACATCGTAGGAAAAGATGTATACGCAATGCACGCTCCATGTGAAAAACAGCCACGACATGTCTGTGAACTTCTGATGTCATACAAACTTAAAAACACTATTGCTGACTAATTTTACATGAAATTTAAGCCTATATTTTGCTGGGAGCGTATATAGTTAGGAAGGCAGCGTGAATCTCCTGATACTGTTCCGTTTGTAATTTGTAAATCCTACATTCAGGAGTGTTATAAAAGCTACAAATGGATTCTTTTTTCAGTTTGTCTTCATTTCCTGAAGGATGTCTACCACAGATACGCCCACCCATATCATACCTAAAGGTAAGCTTTTATGCTCTCACTCTCACATCATCAAGGTTACAATTTGGTTTTACTTCGCTTTTAGCAATATTCCAGCATCATCACGGCGGTCAGTCAAATGAAGAAAAGATTTCTTAACTGTCTGCGTGACACATGATTTCGGCAAATTGATTTATGTAGAAGGGCACTGCATGAACATCATCATTTGTAACGATTATCATGTATTTCCATCATAAGGAAACAGAAAAAAATGAATGCAGTCTGACACACTTTCGGGTAAAAAATCGAAACCTGAATTTAAGTGTACCATTAGTCGGCCTACTCTCACCATATGAATATTTAATATTGACGTGCTTACTGTATATTTTTTATATTATTACAGTGTATTATGATGAAGATGACGTCTTCACGGTTGATGTCACTAACAACGAAGAACTGACTTGGCTGTACACTACAGAGTGGACATGTATGCCTATATCAGGGAAATGGGAAATTGTACATTCACGAGAAGTGCACAAACACTTCTGCGATTTAGTGCATCATTTTGACAATCCTCCAACGGTGAAGACGGCGAGTTTACGTAGCCCTGAACCGAAGGTCATTCTGGTACTCAGACATGACACAAGGGAAAACGCGTTTGGAATGATGTGTAAACTGATTGATGTGAAAGACACTGTCGTGACATTTCTGCGATGTGTGAAAATACCGGCGGATAATATCAACGTGAGGGTTATGCTGAAGGGAGTGAATGAACCAGCCGAGCAGCAGAACGGAGGTAACACTTTAAAATATATCTTCTAACGCAAACAGTGTAAATAGTGCATTGTAGTATTTATTATACTCCCGCGTAATATGAAATGGATTACCACTTTCACTGTTTCATCATATGGTCAATGCAATTCTCCGACAGCTGTGCTCGAGCCCATAATATGATGTGTTATGACATGACAACACGATGTGTTCTGCAGAGGGCATGGAATGGGAATAATATCACTCTGTGCATTTACACATAAATACCTCAGGTCCCCTCTCAGCGCCTGTTAAGCAGCATTGCAAAAGACATTGTATTTTGGACGAACAACCCCATAAGAATTTGCAGAGTCTGGGGAGTATCATCCATGCGATGCCTGGTTAAGGCTATACTCCGTGATATAGTTGAACGTTATGAGTAACTTACGTAGTGGTTTTCAATGGACATTGAGCAATGGGCCGGTGTTATCAATATGGAAAACCATTCAGAAAGTTGTCCGATGTAACAAGTGCTGTGACCCAAACCCCCAAAGAACTGGAATTTGTACTTCACTGAGAAAGTAATGTCAAATATATTCAATGTTACCTGTATAACATACAAGTACTTTAAAGGTTCTATGACAACATTACCGACAAGGAGATACATACATCAATATTCGTAGAACGTTCATTCTCTGGTTAGCATATGAGATTATTCAGAAGTGTGTGGAAGTTGTCAAAAATAAAACAATACAAAGCTGAAATCTATCAAAACACTTTCCTCCATTTAAGGGGGCACGTGTCTGTTCGAGTCGACGCCGGACTATGCTACGAGATATACGTCGGAAACAACATGGCTGTGTAAAACTGATGCCGGGTTTAAGGTGTCTGACGGTGAAACGTCAAAGAGACATTTTTCAGAATTGCAGGACGCTATTGGAGCAAAATACAGGGCTTATTTGAAATCTATTCGGACCGGATCTGTGAAGTTCTTCGTTCATCACGAAACTACACAAGACGCCCAGGAGATGATCAGTAAACACGAGGAAGTGAGAGCCATGATCCTGGAGTGTCTCCAAGCGATAGATTCTACAGTGAAGGACATCCAGATGGACGTCCAGCTGCAAGACTTCATAGGTATGGTGCTAATTGATTTAACAAGCTGTCCGTCGTTTGCAGATATGACAGGGAATCTGTCTTTAAATAGTCCGTCTGAGTAATAAAACAGACAGATTTTCGAAAAAAAACTCCGCTGAGAGAGAAAAACACCTGTTGGTTAACACGTGTTATCTTTCCACAAAGAAACACGAATTGGTAAACAAGCAAAATGGTTATATCCCTACCGCTCCGGTAACAATGAACAATAAAAGGACTGATCTAACTTAAAGAATGTCTTAACATACGTCAACAAAGTAAGACTTGTGAGTTAGTGGTGCCATTGTGAAACAGATTTGCAGACTGAAGTTCTTGTACGTTCAGCAGTAAGAAAAGATATAAGTGTGTTCATTGAACTATTTTGCATTTAAGTTCTTCTTGTGGTGTAAAAGACCTACGTTTCCTAATATCTTGATATTTCCGACATGTGACGTGATTATGTAGGGCGTCTTCGACGTACTGATCACATGAACAGTTTGATGTTTCGGAAGTGTGTCTTAAAGTGTATCAGCATATAGATCGCTGCAGCCGAGACTGAGGTAACAGTGGATAACTTGTCAGAATCTAGTTCCTGAGTTTAAGATGCAAGATACATGTTTATTGCGCAAACATTCCATGTAGAAACAGCGACAATGTTCTATAATAAACGATATATAATAAGTCAGAGTAAAAATACATATAAAGATACAAATGTGTATAATGACAAAGGACAATATAGAGATCTTCTAGATTTGTTTGAAGTTGTCTATTTGGTAGCAGATTATATCTATTCTATTTGGTTCATTATTTGTAAACAGGAGGCTACATTAATTTGAGTGGAAAGGGAATAAAATAAGGTATGTCTTTCATCTGAGTATTTACTACAAAACATAAAATAGTGTTCTTCATCAAAGTCAAAGTATATTAAAGTTTTGTATTCATTTACTGAATTAACGTTATAACTTCTTCTGGCAGGGGATTCCATAAGATCATTGTACCTCGAAGAAATTAATGTGCATACTATTGGGCTCTACAGTTAATTGTTGGTAGGTGCGATTTCTACGATTGTAATTACTTATGTCGGCAACTCTGCCAGGTTTAAACTCAGTTATTCTGGTGCCATGCGGTTGTTCATTTCATAAACAGTCATCAGTTTGATACGATCTTTTGTTTCTTTTAGTGATTTGAAATTAGTTTCATTGTATAGTTTATTGTATAGACCTGACGGCACCAAACAGCATCCAAATCTAACAGCAAGAGTCAACATCGGGACTTGTACAATTTCTCTAGAGTTTTTATTTTTAATCATACACTATATTATGAGGTTCCATTGATGGGAACGGTGTACTAGCAGTATGGGTCTTGATAGTGTGGTTTTTCACAAAGGAGCTTGCTGCATGCAATGGGTGGATGCGTCAGGTTAGATATCGCCATTACGGTATTCGCCAATTTTAACTACCATGTACTGCCCATTTATAATGCAATTCAACCCGTAAGAGCTGACCAACGGGATCTGGTGGCTAGGCTCGCTGACTTGGTTGACAGATATCATTGTTTTCCAATTGCATAGACAGATGACCAGGCTGTTGATCACTGGATTGTGTGGTCCAGATTCGATAATAACAACTATTAACACAAAACTATGACGAGGACGGAGAGGCAAGTAAATGCGTGACAATTAAGGGCAAACTATTTCAGAGAAACATCGAAATCCAAATTCTTTAAACAAGTATGTCAACACAAAAGCACCCATCTCGTGATGGTAAAGCAAAAAAAATAAGTAAATCTGTGGATATCACCTTTAAACTGTTTCAACATATTCAATATTACAAAAAAGGTTGGAAAGCCTAAATATCCGAAACACCGACGATGCACCTTTACAAACAAGCAATCCTGTTTCCATATTCGTCCGTGTATCTATATTCGCAGAAAATGTAAGTGAAATATAGAAAAAGAATAGCAAACTGTATTTTTTCAAAGACGCAAACATAACAAAAAATTGCCTCATTTAGTAGTGCTGATACTAACGTCGAATGACGTTCAAGAGTGTTATCATTTTCAATATTCTGTCACACAATCCTCAGGAAATCACATAAGTATCAATATCCCAGCACAATGTCATTATCTGGTGTAGCTGTAAGAACATCCCTGACTCTCCTCCTAGTATTGTCGTTAATGAAGACTGGCCTTGTGTTTAAGAGGATGGTCATCGAGATGTGGTACTACAACCCTGTCTAGGATGTTAGTGATATACCTTTGTCTAGTCAGAATTTCTCTGATTGTCATAATGTCAAGTCTGCTCTCGTGTGGGGTTCACCTCCTCAAATCATCATGTTTTTCTTGTGGATGTAAGGATTACAATCACATATTCTATACCCTCGCGATACTTCTTTACGTAAAGATCTGAAGGTATCTAGGAGGTCACCTAACTAGAGGATGCGAAGGTTATTAGGCCAATCGGGAGGTTTGGAAGCATTCAGAGTAGATTCAGAGAAGGATCATATTGAAAAGTACTCCAAAACAGTAAAATTTCATTCTTGAACTATACTTATTTACGATCAAAGTACAAAATCAAAACATCTCAAGCAGCAGACACATGTGACCCGTCCCCCTCTCGGTGAATGTTATGTGTGAAAATACGATAAACCAAGCAGAACGCAAGTAATGATTGCGGAACTTTGAAAAAATAATACACCACTGTACTTAAATCGTTTGTGGCATTATGTCATTGTTTTAAAAATCATGAAAAATATGTATCATCATATTGACAGGTACAAAGAACATCGCCTACAGCATTGTGTTGCCTAATGTGAAGTTTGTAATTAGAATAATGCTATGAACGGTGAGAGATTCAAATACACAGACTTGCGTTTGTTTATATAACGGCTCTCATGGGTCCAGTTTAGTTTTTTTCTGACGATCCAGCCTGGTTCCCGGGGTGTGGAGGCCATTGGTGACTTTCACTACTGGGCGACAAGACATATACTCATTCCAACAATGGTTGTCACCCCACTCCCCAACCCAACCCAACCCCACCCACACACCTCACACACACACCCCACACACCCTCTCCAATTAATAAAAATGAAGGGGGTGACAACCATTATTGGCATGAGTAAATATTTACTTCTGAAAAATCCGAGAACGGGTGGTTTGAATTTTTCCATCGTCAATAATCCCGACTACATAAATCGTTTATGACATTATGTTATTGTTACAAAAATCATAAAAATATTTAACGTAGCTAACAGAATTGTGCTGTATAATGTAAAGTTTTTAATAAGATTTCATGCGATTGACGCTGAGAGATTCAAATACACGAACGTGCTTTTGTTGGCATAACGGCTCTCATGGATCCAGTTGAGCGTATTTCTGACGAACTTGATGTGGAGATTGTACGTGCGCTTCCAACAGTTTTAGGAAATGTAATTAAAATCGCTAGTTTCAAAACAATAATATTAGATCTAAGTCTGCATGTAACTAGTTAACTTTAATCTTTAACATTGGGCACATATTTCACATTCCTGTGAATATTTTAGTCTGACAATGTTTTGGAGTAGTATACACGATGGTGGTATGGCTGCAATACCGTCTTTGGCATTCTTTTTTTACCAAATAATGCCCCACTGATGGTCGAAAACTCGGGATACCGGCATCGACCATCGTTCGATGTAGCCCATTTTTGTTTCTGTATTTATGTTAATATTTTCATCGGAGGTAAAACCGTGTCGTGAGGTACGACGAGTAATTCCTGCCGCACGAATTCCCTACTTCGTCCGTCCTTTAGATAACACAAATGGGGTTGGCCTTCTTTGATATCCAGTAGACCGATACTGTACGTTTTGATAGACCACACATGGTCAGTGGCGCGTTGTCGACTATCACCCTCGCGGTCGCCGGGCTGGTATAAATACCTCACACTGACCTGGCCCGAAAGTTTCTACTTTTTACCCCTGCGCGGTGCTGATGATTCGGCAGTCACTGATTTCATTTTAACTGCATCAGATGTTTTTTTTATCGATTAATCTAGTTACTTAGTTATTGATTGCTGACACAACTCAAGGCAAACGTGACACCCATTCCATTGATCGTTTATTGGGTGTTATCATTTCACAAGCGTACTGGTGTCCGAACAAACTCTTGGCTAACGTTCAGTTAAACCTCTCCATAACAGATTGACTGCGATGGGCCCCCCACGGTACTGCGCCTGACCTCGACCTCATGCTTGGCTAGCAGCTGTGACACAGATCCAATTAACTCGTGCCCCGGTCGACTTGAAATTCGGCAGACCACGTCCATGGGCTTCGTTTGGAGATACGCTTCAGCGCCTTGGCGATCTTTCGCCGTCAACGGCTCTGCCTTAGTCTCTCGTACAGACCCTGAAGCAAATATATCCAAGAAAGCCCACACAAGTCTAGAAAATGTGGCAAGTCTAGATTTTCTCAGCTCTCAGGGCTCCTTTTCATTATTATTTTTTTTTTTACTATGAACTTTTTCAGTAAAATATGTTCATTTCAGAGACTAGTTGTTAGTCTAGCTCTGCCTCTTTGTATCGACTGGCGACATCCACGATGGTCAGGGCATACGTTATGTTTTGCGTCCCACCCTGTCATGGCAGGTAGATTGCCACAGATTCTTCAACTACGCCTTAGCATCGTCTTCGGAGACCTTCGCGGCTTCAGCAAGCTTGCAGAGGGCACCCTCGCCTTTCCAGTATCCCCGTGGGCTGTAGTAAATCTTATCCATTATTTCGTTATATTCATATTTCTCCTTTAACTCAGTAAGGCCGAGAGACGCATATATGGGGCAAATTAATCAGCTCCTCACAGCGGTAATTAGCAGTTTCTCACAGCGAGAGCCACATACAGTCGTCAACAGAAAGCATCAATTATTCAGCGAGAGACGCACATGTGTGTTGTACTTTTAAAAATCGCACTGTACCTATTATTTCAAATGTTAGCTTTTCTTACGAGAGATCCCACCTTTAGTATCAACCAGAAGAA